GCTCCTCCGCAACCCGCTACGATACCCAGAACTCCACAGTCAAGGCCATCGGCGCGCAGGCGCAGTAGCGGCTTCTTGTTTGCAGAGGGCTTAGCGGAGGGGGAAACACGGTCTCCGAAAACTTACTATTAATGAGACGTGACTGTATTGTGAAATAATCTCTAGAACCGACGGAATTTCTACGATCTTCCTATCTTTCCTCCAGCTCCGCGCTGTTCGTAAGGTAAAAACAAAACAAAAAAATCAGTGTTTTTCTATTTCACTTACGCTCTACGTCAACTGTTTGCGCTACTGCCAAGGCTCGAATGAATTCTGCGGTGCTCCAACAGTGTTAAAAGAACAGGCGCCAACAGCTTAAAAGAAAAAAGGCTAGGCGTGACGTGTTCCGGGCAATCTATTAGCGCTCCGTACCCAATGTAAGAATGTACCGCAAGGCACAAATGTACACATTACTGAGATGTAGTAACTGAATACCGTCATTTTTTAGTCAAAAAGTAGCTAAGTTTCTATACTCGTTACTGACACAAAAAAACACGTTACGTCAGGTCGAACGTAACGCGTTATAATCTTATTATTCTGAATGCGTCTTCGTTTTTATGAAGCAGTATAGCTGCTTCCGATATTTTTCATCGTTAATCATTTCTGGCTTTCTTAACGCGTTCATTCGAAGATAACTCCAGATAATCTGACATACCTTGAGCAAACTTTTTTGTTTATGATGTCTCTAGCGGTTTTTTTTTTTTTTTTTTTTTCTTGTCGTGCAAATTACACGCGCGAACTGGGTGCTCGTGTTGTGCGCGTGTTCCCCTTCAGAAGTCACCAAACACCGTTCCTCGTTATTATACTTCAAGTAAAAGTAACGAGAGCACGTTACGTTTATCTTCTCTTAAGAAGTAACTAGGTCGTTACTTCGTTACAAAAAGTATTCGGTACATTAAGTAACACGTTAGTAAAAGTTCGTGCAAGACATAGTTGATGCCGATACTATGCACAGCGCAAGTTCGTCTGCTTTTTGCGTAGAGGTTGCGGTGACATCAGAAAGACGCCAACCTCTGATTGGCGCCGCTTGGAAGGATAGTGGGTAGACCTCGATGCTAGCTACATTGAGGTCTACCCACTATCTTTCCGATCGGAGCCAATCAGAAGGTCGGCGTCTTTCTGACGTCGCCACAACTTCTGTGCAAAAAGCAGACGAACTTGCAAGATGCAGACGAGCGATTGGCAAAACGCTCACTTGACGTAAGTGCGATGCATTTCGCGTTTTATTAAAATGAGAGGAATGTCAGACTTTCAGTTTCGACGGCATTGGTTTAAGGCTTCCATTTATGCTCTTTACACACACCGTCAAAATTATCGCCTACAGGCGATAATCCCCGGTCGTGACGTTACAATGGGAACCACGAGAGGCAGCCATCCCCCAAACATCTCGTCGCCAACAAGCAGTCCACGTACTAGCCTTCGAAACGAATGCGTTAGTCGTTTCCCCAGTAAAATAGGTATCTAGAAAATGATGTCCGTTTCATTGAGAGGACGGAATGGAGATCGGGGTTTGCTGAAAGCCGTCCAAGACACTTTCTCGAGAAGTGTCTTCTCCGCAAACAGAGGGGAAAAAAAAAAAAAAACTGGCTTGATAAGGCACTTGTCGATCGTACGCGCTCGCCGAGAAGTAGGCAAGAAAACGCGGTGCTTGCTTCTCTCGCTTCGCCTTGGCGGTTATCTGGATTATCTCTATCACTTACGGAGTAGTCTGGAGGACCTTGTAGCCAGAGACGGGCCGCGCTTGCATAAGAACTAGCGCGGAAGTGGTCTCTTTCTCCCCCAGCCGCCATTCATCTTGGCGACAAATGACTCGGTTAAAAGCCGCTGAGTCGTGTTGCAACGCAGTGGCTCTAGTATGTTACAACATGCTGATCTGCAGACAAAGCTCGTCGGCCTCAAGCACGAGCGCTCCCGTTTCCTTTGGTCTTGCTTTGGATGCACGTGTGCCAGAGTGTCAGCGAAGGTAGAAAGCTGCGCAGTGATCTATACACAAGCCTCAAACCCAACCCCCCCCCCCCCCCCCCCCTTAACTTTTCCAATTGCACCCCCACCCCCTCCAACACCCTCGAAAAAAAAAAAAAAAAACCTATTGTACGCCATATGCGCTCGCGAAACTGTCAGAGCAAGCGTGTCTGTGTTACCTGCAGCCGTTCGTGACGAGAGATTAGAACGGAGAGTTTTGGCGAGCGGGGCCGCAACGTTGCAAATAGCACGGTACAGAAAATGTACGGCATACTAAAATATTTGTTTTTGATAGAGCAATAAATAACACCACTAAACACGCCGATTGTGTTAACAGGCAGGTTTAGCATAGTGTTGCCGCAGGCTACCGTTGGCTACCGCAACGCTCCTGGCGTGCGCTGAAAATTGTGCATCAAAGGCGCAGCGCGAGCTGCCGGTTGTAACGCTATACCGCAAAGTAGCCTGCGGTAACAAACTTCTTATCAATAACCAGAAAGCAGTTTGATCACGTGTGGCAATACACTAAAACCGGGACGGTGAGCAGCGAGTTGCGAGCCTGTGACACGAAGACAACGATACTGTGAACGCTGCTTTTCCGAAGCTTGACGGTCACCGTGCGCGGCTCACTTTTGAAAGCAGTAATGGCCAGGCAAAGCGCAAACGCGATATCTTCATCACCCTCAAAAATATTCTACCGCAAAAAGTGGCGTGGCCGGTGACTAAGACACGCTCGCTCACCACAAAGCTTCGCAAGTAGAGGTTTCTTCACCTTTTAAATATCGGCATGCTCGTTTTCCTAACGAGCATCAACATCTCCGTCACCTGTAGTATTATCCTGCCCTAAACGCTTCGCATTTGTAGACCAATAAATAATTTTTAGAGCGCTGACCAGCGTCAGCGAGCAGGCACACGGATAATTCTGGAGAATCTATCCCCGTCTCTTCCGGCATCTTGGGACTACCGTCCCGCCACCTATTGCAGTTACGAATAGAAAGCGGCGTCTCGTTCTACACATTTTAAAGCAAATCGTAATAGTTTTTTTTTTTTTTTTGGGGGGGGGGGGGGGGGGTGTGAAACGGTCCCTTGCCCCTTGCTCGCGTTAACTCGTTGTTACTTTAGTTTTTCACCACTTCTTCCAAACCTGCGATTTGTAACTGCAAGTTATGGAACATCAGAACATCGGCCTTTATGTTGTAACCAAACGTCTCCAATACGTATCTTTCGAACATTCACGGAAGTCTGAACTATGCACCTTAACCTATGCGACCACATGCCTAAATGTTTTTTAATGCGAAAACATTAACTATTCCATGGAGTGGAGCCGGCGGCGTCTGTAATCGCGCAAAAAAAAAAAAAAAAAAAAAAACCTGCAAAAGAAATGAATATTTTCCCATTGGCTGAAAAAGGGCTCCTATGCAGCCATTGGCGCGGCTGCTTCACGAGAGCGCGCGTTCGGCCGCCGCTCTCGTGTCAGGCGTTGCCGGGGGGGGGGGGGGGGGGGGGGGGGGGGGGGGGTGCTGCCGGCCGCGATTTCGGCAGCAGCGGAGCGCGTGACTGTCCAAGCCAGTGCACCGCAGACAAACTAAGGGAGCGGGAGAACGACGTTCATGCTTTTGCATTCACAACTCATAAGAAGTGCTTAGGGGTCCTCGGAATGTTTATTGTTGTTTTGGAGTGCGTCGCAAATTTATTTTGTTCATGTCTTCAAATTTCGCTTTGTGCTTCATTTCTTAATGCTCGCGAGTAAATTATTCACTGACTTTGGGTCAACCTTTTCATGGTATACATATATGTATACTACACAATGTGTGGTATATACTACTACGAAAACTAAATAATGAATACTACTACTGCATTATACTACGAAAAAGGTCGCCTTCCCGAATGTACAAATTTACATGCACAAACAATATATACCTTCGCATATTTATTGTATGTTTTAGACAACTGTAAAGGATCGTTATACAAAAAAGACGATTGAAATTAAAAGTTGCCTTTTTAAGGAAAGTGATGTTCAAATACTGCACCTATAAAGTTTTCTTTCGCAGTTTGACAACGAAAGAAAACTTTATAGTTCTGCTCGGTTTCTTTTGAGATAACTTTACTTGTCTATATCGATATGTATTTGTACAATGGATATTTGTCTAAGCTTTTATTTGATATACAATTACTTTTATAACATTGACTGTAACAAAAGCTATCGTTCAAACCAGGTACATTATCGTCGAAAAGACCAGGTTCTAGATTTTTTTTTTACGTAAATAGATATAAACAACAATAATATTTTATGAACACGCTTTCAATGTAGTTTAGGAGGCCAGCTAAAAAGTTATTTTTTTGTGCGGAAAATAACTGAGCCTGGCGAAGATCCCAAATACGCGACCTGCGACGATCGTCAAGATCTCATTATTCCCCTTTGGTCTTTAGAAGTAAAAAAACTCGAGAACTAAAAATATGGCGCAAAAACAGTTTTTAGTTACTTTCTAGTAAATAAATTGCCCATCATAAACCTTTTCTTCAAAGCTTTTGGGACATGACCCCTTTTCCCTGCACGATTTCAAACGAAACCGCCAGTACATAAGCACCGAAACCTCGTAGCAGCACGAGCTTAATTAGGTAAATAACTTCAATCTTCAAAGGAAACAACTTCGGAGCAAACGATCTCCGTCCACGCAACCGGGATACGCTCAAAGACGCGTAGCTCCAAACCGAAAAAAAAAAAAGCTAAACAGGAGCCACAAAACAGATTGCCGGAACCAGCCAGCTCATGCAACATTTTTGAGCTCGCGAGAAGGCGCAGGGGCCCTAAAGAGGTAGTGGGTTTTTTGATCTGGTTCCGATATCGGACCTTCAAAAAACAAGAAAACAGAAATAAACACGACCGCAAAGGTGCCGAGAGAGAAGTCATCGGCAACTACACCGCGCGCATGAGCCCGCGGAGCAGTGACTGATAACACCGCGCCACGGCAGCCCAACTCCCGCGCGCAAGAAAAAAAAAAGTCGGCAACGGACCAGGCGGCAGCACGAGTCCTCCCGACGGCGTTGCCCTTGTCGCATTGTGTGCACCCGCTCTCCGACAACCCGCGGCGCCGCGGCCACTGTCGTGTTCATCGGCAGCGCGGCGAGTGCGCCAGAAAAAAAACGAGCGACTGAGCCCGCCACCCACCCAGTCAGTCAGTCGGCAAGCCCTCCGCGCTCCGAGAAGGACGTCTTCTCGGCTATGGTACGCCTCAACGGCATCGCACGCGGGAACGCCGTCGTCTGCTCCGTCTGCGAGAGACGTCGTCTGATTCCCTCGCCGCCGTTCCGCGGATGCTGCGGACGCTGGTCGTCGGTTGTTCTGGCGATGTCGTGGTTGATTCTGGTGTTCGGGGCGGCGGCGGTGACGTCGACTTTGACGGAGAAGCCCAACGTCCCTGGCGGTGCCGGGTCTCTGGACCTGGAGGCAGCGGCGGCCGCGGCGAGTTCGAGTCCTGGGCCGAGGACGCCTTCGAAGTTCGGGTGAGCGTTATACGATATGCTTTGCCAAGTTTCTTAAACACGGGCGTTGAGAGCGCGTGCTTGTGCTCTCGCGTGTAGTTCTTGGCTCGACCATGTGGCGCATTATCTTTATTGTTTTACAAGTGAATCAACTATAGAAAACTTTATTATATATTTTAAAATAAATTTGCTCAGGTCATTCGCTTATTTTGTTGCTGGGTAATTTTCTGTAGATATTCAAACAACATATAAGATGCCTTAAGGTTCCGTTCGGCGTATGATGGTAAATGCATTTGAATGAAATTAGTAGAAGAAAAAAAACCAACATGCACATTATTACTTTCTTTGTTTTTCCAATCTGTGTTAGGGAATTGTATGAACGAGTGTGTAGAAATAACATTTAATTACACAGGTTTTTTTAAGGAAGGCATTAAATGAAGCGTTTCACTATTCGCTCTCTCTACAAAAATGCTTATGCCTGAACAAAAAAAAAAAAAAAGAAGCGCGGTGGAAGTTGTTGTGATCAACATATCGCAGCTGCGAAATCCGAAGTAAAATCCCACCACGTAAATCAGTTTTCAGCCGGACGGCCGACATCTTCACGGGGTTCCGCCGAGCTCAGTGAGGGACAGTATGGAAATCAGGTCAAAAGGTAGCAGGTAGACTTACTGATAAGCACCGCGGCGGCTATCGTAATCGCAAAGGACACTTCGCTCCTTCTCTGTCACTTTCACTCCCTGTATTCACTTCCTAGGCTTCGCTTTCTCGTCAAGTGCAGGCTGTCTGCTCTGAAGGGACTACCGGAGCTGCTAGACTCTTGAGCCAACGCGGAGCTAGCGCAAGTTCGTCTGCTACTTGCACAGGGGTTGGGTTGGTGCCAGAACGACAAGCTGTTATTAGCTGATCGAACAAAAAAATATTGGGTAGACCTCAAGGCATCCAGTATTGGGGTCTACCCACTATCCTTTCAATCACAGCCAATCAGAGCTCGGCGTTGTTCTGACACCACCGCAACTCCTGCGCAAGGAGCAGACGACTTGCTATCCCATACCATCAAGAGCTAAGACTTGAGCAAGCACCTAATCGCATTAAACGGCCCTGTTTTCCTCATTTTCTTCGCAGGCGTTTATGTTTATGAGCTACCGCCAAAACATGTACATCCTTTTCGCGAGACGCAGAGGCGTGTTATAGAATGTCGGAAGCCCGCGCTGGAGGCCGGACAACCGCAAGCTTGTCTGCTTTCTGCGCCGGGCTTGCCGTGACATCAGAACGCCGAGCTCTGATTGGTTCGATTGAATGGATAGTAGATAGGCCTCAGGGCATCTAGCATTGAGGTCTACCCACTATTCTTCCAATCAGAGCCAATCAGACCTCGGCGTTCTGACGTCACCGCGACCCCTGTGCAAGAAGCAGACGAACTTGCGATCCGCATTGGGGCATAGATTTGCCCCCGACAACACACACGTCAAATTTCTCTGCATAGCCCACACTTGACCGACAAACCCACTTGTATTGCCATTAAACTGCACGTTGTATAGTGAGACAGAAGATGACTAGCCTGTGATATGATTATTCTTAAAACCAGAAACGTGATCCTCGCCATAAAACTTTGTTAATAAAAATGCAATGTTTTTATATATTTTTTCATTTCTCTAAAAAAGTTGCTGACTTTGCTATATCTACGGCACGCTTGGCGCTCACGTCACGGCCGAATGCTTCGCGGATTGCATACACGACCACTGCGTCGCCGGTCGGACCGCTCTCGGTGACAAATCATTCCGCCCGTGAATATTCCGGGGTTCACATAAGTGGCGGTGAGGGAAAAAGCCGAACTCCAAGGATTGTTGACCACGTGGCTGTAACGACCAATGGCGATGCCATTCGGAACCAGAACACGTCTTGTCCTAGCCTCGAGTTGAGAGAACGTCAATGGACGTATAGTTAAAAACGAACGCATGTAGGTGATTACCATCGGTGATTATATCTACACGGTGTTTAGCGAAATTTATATAAAAGCAAAAAACGTTTTATGTCACTTTAGGTATGGTTCGGAGGGTAAGCACAAGGCAATTATAATTTGATTCATAAGGGCAAGCGGCCCGCCCGTGGTAGAAAAGAGGTATGACCTTAGCTAAACGAAGGATGAGACCCCAATTCACTTCCCTCGTATCTCCACATATCTGACTTGTACTATATCTTGTCTGCAAGATATATTTTCAAAGTCGGATCAGAAAAAGCAGATCAGTTAATCGATCAGTTCCAGTGCAAAAGGTAATCACGAGAAATATATACTTTCCCAGAAAATGGGATCTTAGCGGTACACCATTTGGGGATGCAACTTTAGTCACATATGGCGGATTCTCAAGGAACAACAGCACATCCGACCAAAATGTTCAGTATTTTCGGGGTGCACCGTCTATTAAGTAGAGCTGTTTGTTCCCCTTCACGGACTTATTTGTGGGCATGGGGTCTCATGCAGATTCTACACTCCCTTTCTTACAGCCATGTTACACGGGCTCCCTTAACCGTAAGTCACCTGCTGAAGACGTTGTAATCTACAAAAAAAAAAAAAAAAAAAAAAAACTTTTCTTTTATCCGCAAAAACAAACTGCGCATCGCAGAAATCTGAAACTCTGCTGTTACACGTCACCACAGTTACCGGACTATATTCTCGAACAGTCTCTTTCAGAAGTTAAGAGAGCGCGTGCACAGCTTCGATGGGCGCTCCATAAGCGCAAGCGCACGTGGGCCCATAGCATTGACTGCATGGCCACAGAACGCTGTCCAAAACTATAGTGTGCTAACTGTGGCTTAGTGTAACTGCATGGAGTTAAGTGTGCCCGTGTAAAGGCCTGTCCAAACAGGACACTTCGAAAATTGTGGGGAGAGACAACTCCGACATAAGTCACGCGGCAATCCACTCCCATCTTTTTTTTTTTTTTTTTTTTTTTTTTTTGCCGGGCGGAAATATTTTTTTTTATTGTCAAAGTTTGCTTGTGCTCTTCACAGGGCCTTGAGCATGCTCATAACGTGGGTCCGGACAGCCACTCAAAAGCTCTGTTGACTTGCGGTCAATCGCTCAAGGCCTCCGCTGCTCTTCATGTCCCGAAAAACGGGAAAAGAAACGGCTGTGTCCGAAATCTTGCCAAAATAGATACAAGTTACTCCGGCGAATCTTGTCAGATAATAACACAGGTTGAGCGACGTTTGACGCGGGTAGGTTCTCGAACGCAAAGGTACATAACCCTTACTCCGGAGTAAGCCTCGAGTAACTTTTGAAACACGGCCAAGGATACGAGGGCCCGGCAGAGCAGATGGACAACATTGACAGGTGGCGTGTGGCGTCAAGTATGACGAGGTCACCGAAAAGCGGAGGAAGCGAGGAGGAATGCCGCAATGTTAGCTCGCTGGTGCTCAATCAGAAATCGGAATGCCCGACTTCAACCACGACATTTGAAGGGGCTGTGTCGCCTCACGATTTCTGAAGTGTCCTGCTTGGACAGTCCTCTACAAGGGTACTTATGTGGCAACAAACTGACTTGCCGTAAACCAAGAATAGAGACACCATATCCTAGCTGCGAAAGCTGCTTGCAGCTTTGACTTCGCGCACGCGCACCCATGAAGACTTTGCTGCATTTCAAGGCAAAAGCAAACCACAGCACAATTTAATCTTTCACACCGGTGTACAGCCTACGGCAGGGCTGGGCAGTATCGCGACACAAACACATTGCGAAAGTATCTTAGAAATACTATCGAGTACATGTATCGAGATACATTTGAAAAAAATCTATTTGGATCTCGGTAGCAAAATACATTTACAATGCATCGCTTGTTTCGCGATACTTTGCCAGACTTGGTTATCTCGTTACATTTGTTGCCCCTTTTTAAGATAAATTTTAAAGATAAACACACCTCTTTGGCGCAAGGTGCTTCAGAATTTATAATATGAACCCACCCTATAACATGATCCCATCACGGTCACCATCATTTAAAAAAAGCTGGTTTAAGGAAGGTTATTTGCAAGAATTGTAGAAAAGGTTCGACTTTGTTGTCTAATCTCTCCACACTATGGGTGACTCATAAACATATTATACAACATTTGAGATGCGCCCTCACGGAAAAACATGACTCATTTCGTGCAGACGCCTTTTGTCAAGCAAGGCACGCAGTCTTTACCGGTCAGGAACTATGTGGTTCACCGAAGATAATTTTTTTATTTTATTTTTTTTATTTTTAGCGACATTAATGATAAATAAAAAGTTCGAGGCAAACAGAAGTGCATAAAATGACACAAAAATAGGAGCACAACTATACATTATCATTTGCATTCGCCTCCCCGCACGTACCGCCTTTCGGGAACGATTGTATTTCTAAGTTTTTTTAGTTGCATTTCGAAATACTTTTTCGCCGTATTTGCAAAAGTATCTCGGGGATATCCCGTGGCTAAAAGACACATGTATCCCAGTATCTGCCTTAAAATGAATGCATCACAGTATCTGTATTCCCGGATACTTTTTGGAGTATCTCTGCCCAGCCCCGGGCCCTGTGAATCATTAAAAAAATTACGCCCTATTACGGTCAGTCTGAAAATTATTCACAGTGACGTGCGAAAAAGACTTAAAGAAATGCCAAGTCTATCAATTTTATACTCTCTTGGAAGTGAGTATCAGCTCTAAACTTGCCAGCTTGTTTTTTTGTTTTTTTTTTGGCGCACATTATTTTGCATTATATTTAAACTGACAGTAAGAGGGCGTAGGTTTTGAAGGGGTCGATTAGCAGCGACATGTTTTGGTGGCCCTCTCGTGACGTCATTATCTAGCGAACAACAAGTTCGATGGTGTTTGTAATGAGCATGATGGAAGCTTGAAATCATTGCGCTGTGAAACGAACGTTGCCAACACCGACAAAATTGAAGTTCTTCCATTCCTCTTGTTTTCGTCGAAGAGAAATCAAATGCTGACGTCATAGTCAGCATTCGACCGATCGTGGAAAGCAGTGGAAAGCCGATCACAGCGACGCCT